AATAAAGGAATTATTATTATAATTCATAAATCTGTCTTTGAGATTGTATTGCTAATAATATATTACTTATAAACTTACCTTTGAATTTGTATTGCTAATAATATATTGTTTATACACTTATCTTCAATTCGTATTGCTGATAATACGAATATTATATCTTATATTTAACTTCAAAGATTTAAAGATGTTTTAATACATATATTATATTTGATATTGAGATTTTGAGAACTCTTTTTAGCAATCCAGTTATTGCGTTAAAAGAACATAATTGTTATCAACCTTTAAGTGATTTTGTCACTAGTACTTTTAGTACTTATTCACATTCAGTTTAATAGTCATAAAGTATTATTAATATTTTGAATTGTTGTTAAGATATTGAAAGTTTCTCTTTGAATATTCCTTAAAATTTATAAATATCTTTGAGTATTTCGAAAGCCTCATCAAAATGGTAACAATATTGTATTGCTTTAGAATTATTTTATACCAAGTAGATATTATAATTTATTAATAATAGTAATAACCTATTTTAAAGATAAAAGAAAATGCATTGCGTGATGATCTTGAAGTATATTCATTACAAAAAGATTGAGTAATCATAAAATTATCACCATCAGACGTTGGTTGAATATTCACATCATGATAATATCTACCAGGAGCCTGATCATGACAATATACAATATAGTAATCTTGAAATAACTGAAGTCACTGAGATTGAATACAAGAAGAAATTAAGTTAATATTGATTGAACATTCATGTTATGATAACACTTACCAGGAGCTTGATCATGACAATGCCAAATGTGATTTACATATCAAGTTATGTTTCTAGTAATGATACAAATACAATCTACATGTTATCCAATTTGCAAACTATAATTATCTTAGATATAGTAATGAATTCACAAACTTATTGTTATATAAATAATAATACATATATAATTTTGTTGTTATATCTGAAATAATTTAATCTAAGTTATTAATAAATTATATAATTTATTAATAACTTGATTTTAGTAAATAAAATATATGAAAAAATCAATATGTGCATCATATACTTTTACCTCTTTATTTTTGCAAATTATATTTAATAACAGATCTTTAATTCTGATCTGTTTAACTGAAAATAAAAATATATTGTCTTCTTTATAAATTCACAATTTATTTTTTGATATTTTATTTTGTAATAATCAGAAAGAGAGCTTAAACATTAAAACTTTTCAAAAGCTTTTGAAATAAGCAAATTCTTTCTGGTTCATAAATAAAATATTAATATCAAAATCATTATAAAGAAAGATATTTTGATATTGAAAAATTCTTATATAATGTTTTTTCAAATATTTATATTTTATTTTCAAGCTAAATAATTTGCTAAGAAGATTGTTTTGTTGTAGTTGGATTTTTTCCTGATCGAAAAAGTCCATAAATTTTTTCCATGATATTTGCTAACAACATGCACATAGATTAGTTAAGTGTATTTAAGAAAAAACTGCAGTTTAATATTATATACATTCTGATCAAACCAGACTTTTAACAGCCCTAGAAAGCAAGCTCGAATTTATATACTATATTTGATAATGTGAATATTAATGTGTTAAAATAAAAAAAAGAACAGTAAGATATAAAAGATCCAATACTAAAAGTTTAAAGTGTATAAAAGTTTCTAGCATTAGATACTCTTTTACAACTTGCCTACCTTGAAGAACTCTCAAGGTTACATTTTTCCGCTCTTGCCATACTTCAGTTGAGAAGAGTCCGTTGAATAACAACCAGTGCAGATAATGATTCGCATGCTTTAAAAGTCCAGGAGGGTTTTATTTCGAAGAAATATGCGTAATGTTTTGTAAACTATACGATAATATTTATTGTTTACAGATTTTGTCTTGTAACCAGCCTTTCATTTTCGGCGATTGCCTCTTCCAATGGTCGTTTGGAAGCTGGTATATTTTTCAGAGAACAATGAGTTTAAAGGTGTGTGTTCTATCTAATTCACATACATAGATTCCCGTGATTTTTTGACAAATTTGATTAAATTTAATTGACCAATCTTGTTATTAAAACTGAAATCTGATGGTGTGTTGAAACAGTTGACAAAATGGTGCAAACGAGTACTTCAAGCGAAGGGGATACCTGGACAGCCTTCGAAAAACTGTTACTAGCACAAGCTGTTTATAAGTATGGGGACGATAACTGGCTTGCAGTTTCGCGGATAATGAAGCAACACCCAATGATTGAACGACAAGCTGAATTCTTTTCCCCGAAGGTTTGATGATTAAAGCTCATTTTACTGTTATTGATTAATTCTGCCCTCTTTTATTAAATAAGCTGTGTGCTAGTAGCTCTTCCTTGTCTGGGAACAACCTGTCTTTTTTTCTTTGAGCTTATAGATTTGTATGATTTGTATTCTTTTGAGATAGAAACTTGACTGACGTATACACACATATATCAACAATAATAGATTTGCTCCAATAAATACAGGGTTCTTATTGAACCATACGAACTTGAAGCTGAGGCTGAAAAGTACGTGTACATATTCATATAAAATTTTTTGAATTCTCGTTTTGCTATAAGAAAAAGTTTAGTTGTCCTTGTCTCGCGTGGTATTACAACAGAAGAATGTAAATTTAAGTTGGAATGGCCTAATTTGAAAGAATAGATACTTGATGTTTTGGGCGTTAAAAATATGCCGATGTGAGGCAAGGACGTGTTGTTATTCTTTCGATAGAGACACCAAATATCTGAAGCCAAAATTTAATATTTTTTATGACAACCTGACACATTAACAAAACAAAATATCTCTTTAAAGTGACAGAGATATAAACGGTTTGATATTTGAACTCTTTTCTCTCTCAATACGCAATCGTCATCACTCTTAAATTAATTCATCGAAATATATATTATTGCTCATGTATTCCACCCACACCACCACCATCTTTGCAGAGACAATGCGAATGCCTGTAGCTGCAAAATTGGCGCGACAGCTATATCATGAACGAATTATCGAATTAAAACTTCGGATTAAAGTCCAGGAAGAGAATTTTCGGTAACTTTGAATTCTTTTTTATTTCTATTAACCATACTCTTTAATAGTGGGATATTCAAATTTTTAAAACCATTGGTGCGATTAGAAAGGTTGTGACTGAGATTGACGAAATTCGTACTGGGAAACTTGATGGAAAATTAAAAGAAATATTAAAAGAACGAGAAGAATTAAGGAAGGAACTTCAGGAGGCAGGGCCTTCAAGTGTTGCAGTTGTACCACTTCCTCAGCAAGAAGTGAAGCAATCTTCACAACAGATTATTCTTACTCATGTTAATGAATCAGAGCCGGCGCAAGCAGTCTCGTCGAGTACTGCACAGCAGCAACAGCACCAGCGTGCCTTTAATACTACTATAAAGCAAGAGGCGTCTCCATCAGCCTCTATTCCGGGCTCTTCTATCGAAATCCAAGACGTGCAATTAAATCAAGCTATTCCCCAAGTGATAAATAAAATTACGGATGTTAGCTCCGATAAAAATACTTCACTTATTCAACTAGGACAAATTAAGAAAGAAGGTATATCTGGAAAAAATATAGAAAAGCTCGATATTATACCAACAGAAGCTGTAGCCTCAAAAAATGAAGTGGAAATAAATTCCAGTACGGTCCTTTCATCTACTGTTACTTCTGAAGAGGATGGTCTATCAGCTGCGGTAACTGTCAACAATGAAATTAGCGGTGGAAAAACTGCGAGTCTGATATCGAAAGATACAAAAAATTTGCATAGTGAATCTGGAATCTCTACCACAGATATTTCATATCCATCATCTATTTTAATTGAAGTAGATAGTGAGGCAGATGAGACGGAAGATATCAATATGACTGCAGAACCTAGTGTCGGCAAAACTATCGCACTCGGTGAAATAACGTCTCAAGAATTTTCGTTTAATCGTGAAGCTCTTGAAACTATCGAAGAAGAATCACCGATGCAAGAAGTCGAGCTTGTTGATCGGATTGACAAAATGCAAAACTCTGTTTCAACATCTCCTATTGCAGTAGATGATAATAAATTTAATGAGCATGCTGAACAGATAATATCAATGGCAATAGATAGACAAAATGACTCGGAGATTTTAGAACTGGGAAATCACCATGCAGTCTCCAAAGAAGTTTCAAGAAGGCTGCAACTAGAAGAGGATCTAATTAAAAGCGAGCAATTAGAGAAAGATAAAATTACAAATGAAGTAAATACTAAGCAAGAAGGAATATTTGTCGATAATCAATCGTATGATGGGAAAGCTTTCGATTTTATGGATATAGATAGTAGTCGGTCTATTAACGTCAGACGCAGATCTTCGCATGACACAGCTAAACTGCAACAGAAATCCAACGTTGATAAAGAACTGCCGAGACAAGGATTCGTCAAAAGACTTATCAAAGAATCACCATCGTATACTCCATTAGCACCATCAGATTTCGAAACACCTCTTACTATTAGCGGAGATGCTGAAGAGGTCGAAAGAATAGATGATAATGCGATGGAAATTGATCAAGCTGAGGATTTCTTCATTCAAGATAGTTTCCCTATCCAGGGAAAGGGAAAAGGAAAAGGAATTGCTCAAGGGAATAATAGATCAGAAAATCAACAACCATTCAGCGGTATTGATATAGCAGATACGACGTCATCGAGCAGTTATGAACATCAACACATTGATTCAATTGACGCATCAAAAATTTCATTTAACAAGGATGGGCGAATAGCTGAAGAACTACCAGCTATATCAGACATTAATATCACTACTCAACGTATCTCTTCAGTTGATGACATATTTCGAGAGCAATCATCTGTTAAAGAGGAGCCGAGTGACGATGATGATGTTCAAATGGTAGATGTCTATTCTGACGTGGAAGATGCTTTTAAACATGAAACAGAAAGGAGTGTACAAGACAAACAAGAAAAGGGAATCTCACTAATAGAAACCTTCACAAACATATCAAAGGAAAGTCCAACCGAATCTAAGGAAATATCTAGTCCTATTGAGCTCAGTGAAGTGATGGGTATCCCTGTTGAAATAAAACATGACTTAGGCCCTGCTGAATCTAAAAAACAGGATGAAAACTCCGTGAAAATAAGAGACACAATAAACTTTATCGATGCTCAAAAACAGATTATCATTTCTGGAGAATCCAAAGAACTTGAAGATCTCACTGAATCAAATGAAGAAATGAAAATCGAAGAAAAGGAACATGAAGTGGTTGCCGGATCAATTGAATTGATTAATCCTCTTGAATTAAAGCAAACTGTTAGTTCTACGGAATCAAAAGATATAACTGAAATAAAGGAGAAAATAATCAATTCTGAAAAATTAAAAGAACTTTCTAGTCCTAGAGAGGTGGTGAGCCCTACTTCTTCATTCAAAGATCCTATAACTCCTAGCGTAAACGCTTCGACACCTTCTGCAGATGGTAATTACATATGCAGTCAATAAATATTTTCAATGGTAGTTTTATGAATTAAATATTAATTTGCCACTTATAATAAAGCTGGAATTACTCCACACTCCGTTAGCGAAATTGCACAAACTCCTGGTGCAGACATACCTGGTATTTATTAGATTTATTAATCAAGACTTTACTAGAAAAAAAGTTATATCTCTAATTTAATTTGTTATTTGGTTAATTTGAATGGTAATGATAGAGAGCGCTTCAGCAGAAAAAAGACATAAAACATGGCAACGCCTTGTGAATATGCTATTACAAGAATTTGCTAATCACCGTTATGCGGGCCTATTCCAAAATCCAATTCGTGAAATAGACGCTCCCGGTTATTATAACATTGTAAAACAACCGATGGATTTAAAGACTATTAAAAAACATATTCGGGAAGGGGTAAGAGTTTTATTCTCTTTCATCCTGTCTATCAACGCTGCATTTCCTTGTTAAGTAATTTGTTTGTCTTCCACACTTAGATTATTACTGATACGGATAAATTTGAACGCGACGTGATGTTAATGTTCATGAACGCATTAGTATTCAATCGAGAATCGACCGATGTTCACAAAATGACGGTTTCGATGAGAGATCAAGTAGAGAAATTACTTAAAGAGTTTAAGCAAAGTGAAAACTCGCGTGGTGCGTATGAGCCCACCACGAGAAGAAAAAGCATGGCGTCTATTGATGGGGCACGGAAACGAAAAGGTTCCAAGCTCCAAGAATGAAGAGGTGACTAAAGCTTTTGTATGTAGTGATATACAATACCTTTTTTTCTTATGTTAATTTATACACATCATATTGATAATATTATATAGTGATAATATTCTGTACAAATAAAAAAATTATGATGTCGCTTATAGAAAGACATTCTTTATTAGTTTATTCTAAATTTATTTGTAGTGTAATATGTATGTTCTTTCATTTCAAAATATGATTTATTGATTTACTTATATTATTTAGTTTCGTTGAAAATAGCATTTATTTATAATTTTATTGTAACTATGGTTCTTCCTTTTTTGAATCGTCACCAAATCTTGTAACACCACTAATAATTGGATACCCGTTAATCCAATCCTTCACCTGGATTTCTTTCTTCTCGGACATTTTTACGGACGTGCAACCAATCATGCTAGTGCCATTTGCACAAACGATTTGGATTGATTCTTGGGAGTGCTGATAAAAAATTGTGCCTGGAAGTGATGAAATCTCTTCTTTCCCGGTACTGGTTAAAGGCTGATGAGGAATATGCGAGCTCAAATGAATATTGAATAGTTGGATTTGACGGCCGTTGAACCAAGTACGTAGTGGATACTATTTATTTATTCATTCATTCATTTTTTGTATTAAAATTGCAATGGACAACGAAGGTGAGATTACGAAGAATCTTTTTACCTGGTGAGAAATGGCGCGATCTAAACGTACGACTTGCTCTGCTGTCAACTTATCCCAGCTGACAATAGACATTTCTTTGGCGATTTTCGGTGCTTTAGTTACTTGAGTCAAATCTTGTGGTTGAGCATTCACCTAAAATATCAATAATTTAGTAACTACATAATTTAATATGATAAGTAATTTAAAGACGCTAACTTTATAATCATAAAAATTTCGTAATGTATCAATCAACAATTCTGCCCCTTTTTCGGCTAGATATGTTTCTAGCCTTTTGTATGTGGAATCCGGTGGAATTGGCTAAATATTTAATCAATCATTTAATACAACGGAAAATGAAATCAATCAATCAATTGATTATAAACCCAAATAAATGACCAATGTAATCTGCCTCAATATTCTTCCGGCATCAAAGATCTTTGGGTGTAACTCTTGTATCGTAATTCCCGTCTCTTTATCTCCATTCATAATTGAGTATTGAATTGGAGAAGCACCGCGATATCTTTTGATAATATAGTAAATAAATTGATTTTACAATAAAAATCAAATTATTGTTGTTTTTGCTAATTACTTTGGTAATAAGGACGGATGGATATTAATGGCATCAGGGAGAGCATCAAGAATCTCTCGAGTAAGAAAATATCCAAAAGAGACTACGATCCCAATATCGAATGATCCAGACGAAACGTCATTGTTTTCATCATCTTTAGGTTTTGGTATCTATTTTACCTTGATTCGAATTAGACCAATTGAATTATGAAGTAATAATTTATAAAGGTCAATTGCAATTATTTCGTTACCCCCCAACCTTGAAGCGTTTTCATCGGTGCATCATGAACTATTAATTGATGCTCTTTAGCAAATAATTTCACTTCGCCTATTTTTCAAATAATAAAGAACGAGATCCATTTTTCACTTTATTATCGAGTTGCAAAAAGAATTCAATAATTAAATCGTACATACTGATTTTTATAGATTTGAGACCTCGTCCAATTCTTTGATCTGGAGGTGAGACTACCTCTATCGAGCTCACCAATGCATTTGGATTTGCTGAATTTGGTTATTTATTTATTAGATTTATGCTATTAATAAACAGGTAATAAGAAAAATAAAAATAATATATTTTCATGCCTTTTTGTTCGTTGATTAATGCGCGTAAAGAAGCTACAGAAAACGCGTCAGATCCAAAAAAAAGAATACGGAAAGGTGATGATAAGGTGGGTGACTTTGCTTTTGATGAAAATGTAGTGTAAGCATGAAAGTTGGCCTGTTGATCAACCGATTTAAATCGGTATAATAATCTTTTTCCCTAAACAGTAATTTTTGACAATATAAACATTAGTGATAACGAATTATTATTATTATATTAAAATTATGGATTCACCGTTGAAGGCGAAAAAGTCGACAATAATCCTTTGTTAGAGTACCGTAATTTTGGCATGATTTTTTTTTTAATCATCATCACTACATATATAAATGGTATATTAATAAATGCATCGAAAATGAACCGTTGTTTATTTTGACACAATTAATTTCATTAAAGCCGAACTTGGTTAGACTATTTCTTTTTTAGTCGAAAACAAGCAAACAATACAAAATCGGGTATGTATGTGTGTGGGGATTATCATCGTTACATGCGTTGTTGATCTTTAATTTTTTTTCGAATGTATTATCGTTGATTTTTTGCTATCTATTGTTTGCTTTATGAAGAGATGAAAAATACATTATTGTTAAGAACGCGTGTCTGTTTCGTGTGCCCCTTCCTAAACGTTACAGACTTCTTAATGCATATTATATATAAAGAGAAGCAAGCATGAATTGAATGGATACAAAAATTAAAAAGAAAAAATGCTATTTACGAATTATTAATATCTTTTTCACCTCATTCTTTCCTTTCACCCTACATTTTCGTTCCTTTATATCAATAATTACTCTCGTCTTATCAAAAGAGGGCTGCTGGTCACCCAATACTATATTTTGCAAATTAGTATTTAGAAATCTTCAAAACATAAAAGAAAAATGTCAAGCCAAGGCAGGGACCTGACTCTATTTTTACTTGTTTGCTTTTTGATTCTGACAGAGTTTACGATTTCCATTGAAGGAGGTATATATAAGATTAAATAAAACATTTTAAGTCAAGTAATCAGAAAAGAAATTCGATTAACATATCCACTATTGTAATTGTCGTTTTTTTGTGACTACATGCACATATAGCCAAATTTATACGCAACCAACAAACTCAAACATGCATGCAACGCACGCAGACCACCTCAAAAAATTCAGGTTGCTTTACCGTTTCAGTGATAACATGTCCTGTGGACAGATTTTCTTCAATTCCCTCTTCTTTACTATGGAATATTGTCCCGGTGGATCCTTCCATCCCTTTCTCGACGACGACGACGAATTCAACAGACGTGTATATTGAATCTTCGGATAATAAGTTATGTCTTTCTGCGGATAAATCGAATGTCGAAGTATGTCCATGCGATAGTGGGCAGAAATGGAAAGTGAGTGGGGATAATTGGATGAGTGGATCAAATTGCTTGGGAATAATTGGAAATGATGTTGGATTGAGTTCTTGTCAGACTAATTCAAGCCCATTCCAATGGAAAGCTTTTCACGACACGCCAGGTATTACTTTAATGAATTAACCTATTTTAAGTCCTTTGAGAGATTATCGATTAATAAATTTTAATTATAGGTGCGATTAATTTATACACCGAAACTTTATTTACTCAAAAACCAACGCGTTTATCATTAAATACGTACACATCAAAAAATCTTCCATCGTCGATATTTTCTTCCCCCTTCTCAATTGAGATTCCACCTGGATTCCAATTTGTCGTAAGCCGAGGAATAAACATTACCAAAACTTATGATTCGGATATGGCACAACTGGATCCAATCGATGGACTCACTTCAACAATCGAAGTGAAGCTTAAATCAGGATTGGTAATATATGAGCAACCAGCGTATTTTGGTGTGAGCAAATTTATCGAAAATGGAAATTCATCTAATACTACAACTTCGATGTTAATTGGTTCGGTAATGGTACCTGACGGTTTTCGTGCTATTTTATGGCAATCATCTAATTTTTCCGGAGATAACCTTGGGATATATGAGCCAATTGCAAATTTTACTGGAATCGCAGCTGCAACATCTCAAACTTCTGCTGGAAGCGTTGACGTGTCAACTGGTATTATTTTCTTAGAGTATCTTATTGTAGTATTTTTTATATTAATGTACAATAAATTAACTTTTTTTAATTTAGCTACATGCTCACCTGAATGTTCTTCCGGTGGCTTTTGTTCAAGTAAAAATCAATGTACTTGTAATCCTGGTTTTACTGATCAATTGTGTGACAAATGTCTTCCGGGATTTTTTGGATCAAACTGCCAACGTAAGATATTCTTTGATTTGTTATATGCACATTGTTATAACCATTTTTTAATTCTAATTTATTATTGATAATAATAGCCTGCCCTTCATCATGTAACAATAAGACACATTTTACTTGTGACGATGGATTATCAGGAACAGGAAAATGTAAATCAGATCAATGTGCTCTAGGTTTTGCAGGTGCTAAATGCGATACTTGCGCACCTGGATTCTATGGTCCCACTTGCAAACGTAAGATTTATATAATATTCTAACTACAAAATTCAATTAAGCACATCAAACTTATTCGTATTCTTTGAATTTTTTAGCTTGCAATTGTGGAAATGGCAAATGTGATTCTCAAGGAAGATGCACATGTAATGCCGGCTGGACTAACGATCCCAACAGCAGTAATTCAACAAAATGTAGTATTTCTAAACAAGGTTACTATCAATTTGGCAGTGATATTCTAGCTTGTTCTCCGGGATGTGTCAAATGCGAAGCAAACGGAAAGTGTAATCAGTGTAGCAGCCCAAAGCTTAAGGTATCCCCTGACGACAATACAAAATGTGTTCCGAATTCTCCAAGATCATGTTCGGACGGACAATACGATAATGGCTCGGAATGTAAACCATGTGATTCCTCTTGTCAGACTTGCTATGATTTCGGACTTGGAAATTGTCTAAGATGTCAATTCCCGAAATTTTATATGGAAGGAGGCTGTGTACCAGTACAAACGAATAATGCTGATGGCAAATGCATAACTCAAGATAATTCAAAAGGATATATTGCTGATACACAAAGGGGGGTTTGTCAAGGTATGGCATATTGTTGATGGATTGTTTAATGAAAATAACAAATCGCTCACCGAATTTGCTTCTATTGTTTTTAGCATGTCCGAGTAATTGTGCGGATTGTTCTATTCCAAATTTTACCAATGCAAGTCCGTTAACCAGCATGACTTGTTCAGAGTGTATGCCTGGCTATATACTTGATAGTGGCAAATGCTCCAAGACATGTCCTTCAGGAACATACATTGATAACAGTGACAATACTTGTAAAAGTAAATATATATTTTTTTGCTATATGGTTCAATAGCTCTTGTTTTATTTTTTTTTTACACTATTAATTTATTTTTATGTATTTAGAATGCGATCTCGCATGTGCTAGTTGCAATGGTCCATCAGCAACACAATGCCTTTCATGTGCAGATCCCAATCAATACGCCCTCAATGGCACGTGTTCATCACAAAAATGTCCTCCTTCATACGTCGCAATAAATACAACCTGCACCCAATGTCATCCAGATTGTGCCGAGTGTAATGGACCTGCTCTCGATCAATGCACAAAATGTCCTTCGAATCGACCAATTTTAGTTGATAATCAATGTGTAGAAGTCTGCCCGAAAGGAACCTATGCCGACAAGAGTGGAAAATGCCAACAGTGTAACAACAAATGTTCTTCATGCGTTGGTCCTTCAAGTGATCAGTGTCTTGGATGCACGGATCAATCAACAGTGCTGGTAGGAGGTTCTTGTAGTGGAACATGTCCATCCGGAAGCATATTACTTAAAGCTGAGCGTCTCTGTCAGAATATTGATAGTGAAAATGTTGTGACTCCAACTGACAAGGGCAACACCCTTATAGCCAAAAAGTCATTACCGTGGTGGATTATTTTGATGATTGTCATCACGGCACTTTTACTTCTGATCGGTTGTGTGTTTTTGTTGAGATATTGTGCCATGAAGCGACGAAAGGAGAAGACGGAAAAATTCAAAGAACAAGTCGATGAAAACGCGGTAACCAGTCAGATGATCGATTTGTATACCCAGGAGGAATTAAATGGCCAAGTGAAAATTTCACAGCCTGATAAATCTTATATTTCCAATTTCAAGAAAAACGTTAAGCCTCACGAAGTTTTAAATTTGCGCGAAAGCAAGCCTCCTCCAGCATATAGGCCTGAAGACGAGGAACGATATAAAAATCAAGGTCTCCTCCAGAAAAGACCTTCGTTTAAGACTAAACTCGACTGGAAGAAAAGTAAGAAGGATGATTGGGAGGGATTTGAGGTGGTGGCTTTAAATGAGGGAGAAGGTTCTTCGGGTAGTAAAAAGGAGAAACAGAGGAACTCTGGTGGATCACAAATGAGTAATTTGAATTGGGGCACTAATTGGATTTAATTCATTTTTGAAAACTTGGATATCTTTTCGCTTTTTGTTATTAGAAAATTATTATACATGTCGGAGTAATTTTTTTATCTTGTAAAATGGTTTAATGTATATAGCATAATAATGTAGGTATCAATATACTGTAATATTGTTACGAAAGAAAAATGTAGTGTATCTGTATTAATAACAGTAATAATAATAGAGTTGATGGTGATAATAATAATAAATACGCCAAATCTTTAATTCATCCATCGAATTGTTTCAAAGTTTTCTATTTTTTTATTTTAATGGATGTTATTTCATTTAATTTGAGAAAATCAAACTAACTTCCAAGAGTATATATCTCTCTCCTAACCTCCAGGACCGAATCAATATGTTCCTTTCTTATTATCTTTGCTTTTTTTGAGTTGGCCTCCAAATTTGCTTCTTCCGCTAAACTTTGAAGAAAGTGAATATAATCCAAGTAGAGCTTTATTAAGACCAAAAAAAGAAATATCGCGTTTTAATGATTTATGTTCCGAAAACGAGATTAATGATTAAATTTTATGTACCATTATATCTACATTATTGCTGAATTGATTTTCTGGAAGGTGGGCTTTTAAAATTTTCTTGAGAGTTGCGCGTGGATAAATACGTGTCATCGGATTGTGTTTCTCGCGTTTTCTCAAGTATATTGTTATAGTTTTTTAAAATATAATCACGTGTGAGATTTTTGATTATTGAATAAAAATTACGCATAATTTAGCCAACGTTAGGAAATTAAGTCATAATTCGGATTAAAGCACATGGTTAATATTACCGTTACAGTTACAACGTACAAAGAACAAATTTCTTTCTAAAGAATGAATTAACACTCGATTTCCAAAACCAGTGACCAATAATATTTCAGCATTTGGAAAACCCATCTAAAATTTAAAATTTTGTTTCTTACGAGATTTTTCATTGTTATTCTAAAATGGCTGCTGACTTTTGGGCTTCTACTCATGGGTAATTAGTCAATTGTAAATTAATAAAGATCATCATATTAAATTTATACCTCACATTTTTTGTATAAAGACGTCACTGGATACTTGACAAGAAAACACTGCAAGAGAGCCGTAAAATGGATTTACTTTTCATTAGCGAGATTGAACTAGCAAAACTGCGTATTTGGTATGCGAATTGTGAGTGTTTTCCATTAAGGTACATTAGTTTCGTTGGGTTCAATTTTCTTTCATCAATATGATGATGATTATAATGAGATTAAACTTCTTATAACATTGGCTTTTCGATAATAGTGATGCATAATCTGGGAAAGAGACTCAACGTAAAACAAGTGATAATGGCGACAGCCATTACATACTTTAAGCGGTTCTATACAAAGTATGTTGGAAATTATTATGTCATGTTTTTTTTGGTTTGGATTTGAATTTGCTTTGCTAACACCAAAATTTTGTACTCTGTTTCTTTTTAACCCCCCCCCCTTTTTCTTATTAGAAATACGTATAGACATACTGATCCAAATCTCGTAGCAGCTACTTGCATGTATCTGGCTTGTAAGATGGAAGAATCACCACATCATATTAAAAACGTTATATCCGAGATGAGAAACGAGATGAGAAATATCGCAGTGAATTGTAAAAAAAGTAAGAGACATCATTATATTGATGAATTATTTACAGTTTAAATCAACAATTTAAATTTTCTGTCTATTCAATATCTCAGCTGCATCGACGATAGCTAATGAACAATCGACATTTTCATACGACAACCAAAAAGTAGCTGAAATGGAATTTTATCTTCTCGAAGAATTAGACTTCAATTTGATAGTCTTTCATCCGTATCGCACTTTAACCACTCTTGCGCAGGAACTCGGCCAAAAACACGAAGCAATCCGTGACGCATGGACTATTGTCAATGATTCATACAAGACAGATTTATGTCTATCGCATCCGCCGCATATGATTGCGATTGCTGCGCTTTATATCCCTATTGCTATAAAATTGGGTGAATTTGGTTTTAGTGGCAGTATCGGGAATAATGGGAACGGAAACGGGAATGGAAACGGGAATGGAAACGGGAATGGTAATGGCAATGGTAACGGTAGCAGCAGCAGCAGCAGCAGTAGTATTGGAAGGAGAACCACATTGAACTCGACATCAAAAAATGATAATGGTATTCCTAAATTAAAAGAGCTAAAAAAGTGGTTTTATAGTTTGAATGTTGATATGGAAGAGGTAAGATTTATAAAATCATACTGATGATCGAATTCACTATCTAAATTCCAAACACGATTTTTATAATAGATTGCTGTGATTGTACAAGAAATTTTATCACTATACGAACTTTGGAGTACATACAGTGACGATCAAATACCAAAGATCTATGAAAAATTAAAAATACCCACTGCTGCTGATATCGAAGACGCGTTAATAGCAACAATCAACACCACGACTACCAGTACTACCAGTATTCCCACAACTATAACGAAAATACCTACTGCCACTACTGCTTCAATAACTACAATTAAAAGCGAGGAAATTATTCCAGAAATAGAAATGTTAGAGGAACACGATGATAATAACAACCAAGATGTTCCTTTTAGAGCCACCGTTTCTGCTACCGAAGAAATTGATCAAGAATTCTATAATGATGATAAAGATTTTGAGTTTGTTCTGAATTTTAGAAGAAATAACAGTATAGTTAAACAGGAACTACAGTCAGACCTCCTTATAGTCAAACCTTATACAGTCGCGCCCTATACTCTATAACTATCATCACGCATTTTATTATCATAGAACCTCTATAGAGAACATTATTTATACATAGAAATGTCGCGTGTGCTTAAATTATTGATTGTCACACCGCATGCTGTTTGTTGCGTATTCGTTGATCATCTATTAACCAATTATAGGTAGAATTAAAATATATAAACTTCGGACTCTTGGAGTTTTCGTGGTATAAATTAAATCTTGGCTATTTGGTTTGGTGTTTTTAGGTTTACAATACTTGTAGACATTTTCTTTACCTTTGAAAACAGTTACCTCGAAAACTCATAACATATCGGAGGGTATTCTACATGGCAACAAGAGGTAAGTAGAAGTAAAACCATCAATTCTTGATCACGTCTAATAAAGCTAAGGATTTATACATATGTATTTTCCAATGCTTTCGTAATTATTATTAAGGGCCTGAAATTATATTAACCCCTGAAGAAAGAAACGTTTTTGGCCAGCTGTTTAAAGCGGCCGACGAAAAAGGTGAAGGGCTTGTTACTGGAAATAGGGCAGTCAGCTTTTTTGGAAAGTCAGGTTTACCGTCAACGACTCTTGCACAGGCACGTAGTTTTAGGAATTAGAGATTTATTATTGGCTTTATTGTATGCAAGCTTCGTCTTTTCATTTATATCTGATAATACTATAATGATATTGTTATTATTGATTTATACAGATTTGGCAGATTGCAGATTCGGAAAATAAAGGATTCTTAACACCACAGACTTTCAGCATCGCCATTAAGCTTATAGCACAAGCACAGAACGGACAAGCCCCGGACCGTTCATTAATTAATAAGGGTTAGTAATTTAAATACGCGACCAAGATAAATGGATGATACGTGTATTAAGTTAAATAAATAATGCCGATTTTGATTAAAATAATTCTAGAATCACCATTACCGCACTTTCAGGATATTACTCTTGGACCTTTCAATAAAGGAACTGCAAACAATCATAATAATACTTTTATTACGAACGAAGACCGGGACAAATATAAACGACTGTTTTTTTCGTTAGATCCTAGAAGTGGGCTAATTGAAAGTAGTTATTATGTTTATTACTGTTAATGTTGAGAGTGTGAAGAACATAATCTTTTTTGTTCGGTGCTAAAATACAATTCTTTTAGCTTCAGGTGAAAAAGCAAAAGCAATATGGGTTAGATCTAAACTTTCGGCTGAAAAACTTGGACAGATTTGGTATTAGGAATTTTTTATCAAACTAGGAAATATGTTTATTTAATATTCGAAAAATATCATGTTGACTGATTCGTTATTCCTTATTGGTTATATGATTTTCAAGGTATTTGGCAGATACAAAAAACAGGGGACATTTGGACCTGACAGAATTTATTATTGCAATGTATTTTGTGCATAATTCTATGAACAATAATATTCAAACTCTGCCGCAAACTTTGCCACCAGGATTATACGAGGAAGCAACGGTAGCGGCAGGAGGAGGATCGTCCAACGACTTAGATCTACCCACATCTCCAGCATTTTCTCCACGCACTATTGCCACTACTACTAGTCCATCTCCATATTCAACAGGCAGTCCCAGATTCAAACCGCAGCAGCAACAAACATCATTATTGATTTCGCGAGAGTCTTCTGAAACAGCTTCTTCATTCTTTGATGGAGGCATCGCTAATGCGTCGGAAGACGCTTGGGATATTAGCCCACAGGATAAAGCCAATTTTGACGCTCATTTCTCAAAGCTCGATGGATCTAACAGAGGATTTATCACTGGCAAGTTTTAATTGATTGATTGGCTGGTTGATGGCTTTTAAGTATTTTCTGACTAGAAAAGTGTTTAATTAATTACCAAAAATAGGCGAGGAGGCAGCGAATTTTTTTTTGAACTCGAAACTTTCACCCGAAGTTTTAGCTCAGATATGGTAATTTTTTTAAAAATAATTTCATTTATTTTAAAATCTAATTAATCCTATCCATAATTAATTTTATCAAAGGGATCTTGCTAATATTACAAAATCTGGCCGATTGACTCGAGATGAATTTGCAGTAGCAATGCATTTGATACACAAGAAGAGAGCAGGCGGCGTGTTGCCCGTGACATTACCACCGAGTCTTATACCACCCTCAATAAGGCCGACATTAAGTAAGTTTCTTGAACACTACATGATATTGTCGTTTTTCCAAATAAATTCTGAAATCTCGTATTCTTTCGATCACGCGTGTCTGATAAAAACAGCGAACGCCTTTTCAAATTTACAAAGAACCGATAGCACTCGTCCACTTACTTCGACGACCAATTCGAGTGATCCTTTCTTTGATCTGCAATATCCAACATCTACGACAAATAACAGCACAGTCCTTCAAGGTATTTTTTTTAATCTGTTTACTTTTACGAATTTGCATTTTTCCTAACGCACGCATATCCATAGCATCGCCAGAGGTTGATCTCCTTTCGATAGGCCAAGATATTAAAACGGAAATAGCGCTTGAAACGGGTGAAATTCGAAATCTCGAATCTCAAATTACGCAGTTAAATAATGCTTCGACTGGACTTAAAGCGAGACGAAATGATTTGGAATCAAACCTTACCTCATTGACTGCCAAGAAACATGATATTAAATTGCGTCTTACACAGTTAAAGTCAATATATGATGCGGAAGTTAAAATCGTGCAAGAAATCGAGGCTAACTATCGGAAAGAGCATGAAGCTACTGAACAGGTGAGAGCTGAGCTTGCCTTGGCCGAGCGTAGTCTTGCAACCATGCAACTAGAAAAAGATCAACTTCAATCCGGAATTTTGAAGGATCGTGAGGAAACAGTGAGCCTCAAGAAGCAGGTCAGATTGACTGAAGAAGAGACACTAACAATTAAGGCGCAAATTGAGAAACTGAAGAAAGATTCACGACAACAAAAAGGATTGTTAGCGATCAATAGAAAACAATTAGCCAGCGTTAAGGTTGAACAAGAGAAGTCAACGACAACATTGCAAAAACTTCAAGATGAGGTGGCAAATCAACAACAAGTAGCTTCAGATCCTTTTGCGAATCTTCAATCCACTAGTCGAGGAATTTCTGAGGAACTTAGGGAAAGTGGCAGTCAACCAACTTCTCAGGTTCATGGTCAAATGTCATCGATATCCTCAATTTCTGATCTTGGAATAAAAAGAACAATATCAAATGCTTCACTTGACTCGATCTCAACTCAAAGTGTTTCAAGCTCAAGATCGGTTAATTTAGCGCAAACAAATTACGAAGGGGCGACGAGCATCGATAAACCTGCTTCAGTGGCAACATCTAAATCCTCTGAGTTTGAAAGTATTTTCGGGGAACAACCTGAGAATAGTAATGCGTCAGAAATATCCACGAAATCAAATCCATTTGCTAAAACATTTGATAATGTAAATCTTGTTAGTAATGGTGACAATCAGATAACATCCCAAATATCACCTTCACCCGTTCAAGCGAATTTGGCTCAACACGAAGAAAAGAAATTAGATCCTTTCGGTGGCTTGAATGGAGAAGAGGATTTGGCTGTCCCTGCACAACAAACTAATATTGATACAGAAAAGCAAGAGGATTCTTTGCCTGGTAATGATCCTTTTGATAGCTTTAAATCAATCGCGGGGAATAATAAATTGGATGCTGCATTTGCTTTTGGGGCACCTCCTCCAGAAACCTTGACTCCAGATACATTTGCAGCGGAATTTCCTACTCTTGAAGAACTTGAGAAATCTCTGGCCGGAGACGTTTCTTTGGGTTTTGAAGACAATTTTACAACCGGCTTTAGCGAAAAATCTAAACCTATTTCAGAAGACAAGAAACTCAAAGATACTGTAGATAACGATATCAGCTCTAAAACTGGAGATGAAAAACCTTTGAATTCAAACCAAGGTTTACCGGGCATCGATTTTGAAAAGTTGGAAAAATTTGATAAAACTGAAAAGGAGGAAAATCCTGAAAGTAAAGACATTTTATCTTTTGAGAAAATTGGCGCCAACGAATCAGAAGAATTCAAAATTAGTTCGTTCAATAGTTCGGCCAAACCAATAACTAATGATTTGGCAACAGCTTTGAATACGGACAAAGATTCATTCCACGATTTATTCGCTTCTGAAGGCACAACCGATCCTTTCACTGTACAGCCAATCTCAGCAACATCTAATATCGGTTCATTAGACCTTCTAAATAAAGATGATGATACATTTCAAAATATAGTTAAAACAAAAGACCAGACTGATAATACACAGACAACTGCAACGGGTTCCAATGCCCCTATTGCTTCGATAGACGATTTCGATGCTGCGTTTGCCGATTTATCGGAGGCCAAGGTTAATACATCTGTTGCTTCAATAGACAAATTTGATGACGCATTTGATTCCGCATTTGCCGGTTTATCGGAAGCCAAAGTGGTTAATGCACCCATAGATTTCGATGCAACAACATTCGATGAGAATTTTGATGAAGATTTTAATCCCACATTTGACACACCAGCAATCACACATGTGAAAACTACAAACAATTCGATTGGTTCGCAGAAAAATTCTACGAATTTTAATAGTTCTATTGATCTTAATAAGGCATTTGATGATTCATTTGGTGACTTTGATCCATTTGCAGCAAATAATACTACAACTTCGACCACACTTAATACATCAAAACCAAATTTGGACGCTGCATTCGGTGGAAGTTTCGGATCAACGACAACAAAATCAGAAACGAAAAATGAATTTGGCTTTGAGGATACATTCACGGGACTGTCTAAATCTTCGCTACCTCCACCGGTTCCTCCCAAAGGAAATGACCCCTCTTTGTTAGATAGTGGTGGCGGCTCAACTGAGGTTTCTCACTCGATTCTAGATTCACCATTGTCTTCTCTTCCTTCAGCAGCAATACCACCACCAGTACTAAGATCAAGAGAACCAAATGACGATAATGATAGTGAACAGGTTAGACAGCTAAAATCTATGGGATTCACTAGAGAACAATCAGTCAATGCGCTTGAAATATATCATTACGATATTGACAAAGCCTCTAATTATTTACTTGACCTAAATACTAAATAATTTAAACAAATAAAAATACAAATATGTATATATAAATTTGTGATTTTACATTATATTTATTCAACATAATTTCGGTATTGGTATTAGCGTTAGTATTAACATTAACGTTAAGATCAGGGACATTTTTTAAATCAATAATAAATTGAGATTCAAGTCAATTGGGATTTTATAGTATAAATATATATAAATAAAATAACCTAATGAATTACATATATAATTGTAGATCTAGAAATCCAAGAATCACAGCCGCTAAAATTGCATTAATAGCAACGAATTTGAGAAATCTTCAGAATACTTTAACTACTATCAAATCATTTGGCAAAATTCACTTTCCGATCGAACATTAGATGAGGTAACGTTAATCTATCAGATAAGCTTTGATTTTATCAAGATTCTTTATGAATTGATTATTACTAACGTTAGATCTAACATGTAAAGGTCAAGCTGTTTTACAATATTATACTAAAGAAAATGCTCCATCCGCTAAAATATTCAATTTAAAGATTACATGTACAGTTCTTTATAACGAACCATTTTTATATCGATAATGGCATTTAACGAAGCTTTTTGAAAAAATGTATTACACGAAAAGGCATGCTTTTATAACGTAGTTTATATTTAGGGTTCAATATAACCTGTTTCCCGATGTATCGGTATATAGAGAGCTCAGACTGTATTAGAACGAGAGGTCGATGCCGATCTAACCAAAAAAATAATAACATCATCTAATCTTTGATTTCAATTATAATTATGTAGTGTCCATCAATCAATGCTATTACTTATTTACGTTTATGTCATGTACTATTTATTATGTATCACATTTGGTATAACATTTGGTGAAACGATTATCTGATTTATTATTGTGTTTTTTTTTTTATTTCTTTACTTTCTGTATTATATTTACTAACGTTAATAGATAGATAGATACCGATATCTATAATAATCTCAATAAAAAATATATCTTTATAGTATCCAAATAATTTATGAAATGTGGCAACAACAGCAGCAGCAACACGATGAAAAGTTATTAGTAAAAATAAAAAACGAACAAAAAAGTGTATCATCAATACGATTGCCACCTGAAACGTGGCAGACAATATTTGCAGATTTCAAAACGGGAGATTTATATCGATGCTTATTAGTTGATCGACATTGGTGTTCGAATGTAGTGTCGTTATTATGGCGGGATCCATTTCTAGTGGAGAGTGCGACATTAATCACGGTATATCTGGCATTTCTAAACGATTTCGAACGAGAAGAGCTTGCACAAGCCGGAGTAGTTGTTCCCGTAATTCCAATGCCGACTTTCGAATACCCGGCGTTTTTGAAATCGGTTGACTATTGGAATTTTGGAAAATCAGTTCACGCTTGGTTGAAACGAGTTGATGACTTAATGGAATCCACAAGAAAGGGGAAAGAGACTGAAACCCAATTCTCGATAGACTTATTTCCAAAAATTGCTCTGGCGAAGGAAGCTCGACCATTCTTTATGCGACATCTCGGAAGTGGTGCATTGACATATAGGTCGGCGATTAAGCGAGCCATCGTGAAAATGTTAATGCGATTGGCACCGGCTGCCTCGAAAATTGTATTAAAAGACCCCGACGATTTTTTCTTGCTCGGAGCGCAAGAAATCGTGAAATGGGGTCAACAGTTTCAAGAATTAAGAATAATTTCAGGGCCATTGGAACACGACAAGTATCCAGTTCTTTGTGCTGGGTTTAAGAATGCTGTGTGTATGCTTGGCTATTTGTAAAAATTCCGAACGTTTATATTGTAATCAATTAAGCTTTCATATCATTTTTTAGGAACATGTTTATGTCGAAATCAACTTTTATCGACAAGATTGGGCAAGAGAAGGAAAATCGGAGATGCGAAAGCTTACCAATTTTATAAAACTTTTGCGACGATTGACCACTTTCCAATTAAGATTGCTATCAAATGACTGGATTCCAACAGACATAGATCTTTTATGTGGTGCATTACCAAAAACATTACGTCACCTGTCATTCAAATCGGTGAATTTTACTGCAATGTCAAGTCTCAAGTCATTGACCAAACTCACCAACCTGGAAACTTTAGAATTTGATTGCCCGTCCGGACTTGAAGACCGTCTAGTGAGTCCACTGACGGCTGCAAATTTTCCAAATTTAAAGAAAATTATCTTACGTGGTGGCGAGATTCCAAGTGAGATGGGGTTATGGGCTGTCCGTATTAACAGTAGTTAGGTAATTTTATAGCATTGTGTTATAGCGCATCATCAATCTAAGCTTTTACAATGCCAAGTATTTTTGCGTGCATTCGTTTATTTTATCTTCTAAGCTTCAAATTAAGGTTTTTTCATATGAATAAGGTTTTAGTAATTAGCGAGAGGTTTTATTTTTATTTTATTTTATTATTTTGTATCCGGCCACATATTTTTATCATTATAATAAAAGTACGTAGTAATAGAGTCACAAGTCTGTCTGCCCACTAAAGATAATGCATCAGCAGAAATCTTCTCCGTAATAAGAAAGTACTGTACATACGTATTGGTTATTTTAGCGTTAGCGTTAGTTACCGTTACTGCACATCATGTTACTAAAGCGGTACATAAGATGACAAGAGAATCTGTTCAGGACACCCGTTCACGAACCGGGGGAACTTTTTAACTAGCTAGTACTTTATGAAAAAAAAACTCCGATTATGTGTTACGTGCTAACGTTAATGCCTAACGCTAACACTAAGGTTTTATTATTTTCTTTATTTTTGAAAAGTAAAAGTAAATCAACAATTGATTTTTTTATCAAACTATTAATTTAGTCCTTGTATTCTTTTTCAGCACTGAATCCGTACTTGGACCATCAATGAATAAAAAGATGAGATACTCATCCCAAGAACACCAAAACAACAATTCCTTCGAGCTGGATGAATTTTATGTCGTCCATAAACAATTAAGGGTTTCATTTGCGTTGGATTGTAAAGATAAGATACACTCACATTCAATCAAGCACTTGAAATTGATTTTTTCTTTTTCAAAGCATATGTAATAAGTGTTTACAATTTCCAGATCTCAAATATTTGTGGAGTAAATTAGAACGAAAATCAGAAAATGTGTTTCTTAACCAATTCGTTAAAAGTGAAGTGTATGTTAATTACATGCAAAAATTTATTGATAAGAATGGCCAACAATATATTTATTTTTTTGAATTGATACAAAAATTGCATAAATAAGCGAACTTCGGATAAATTCGTAAGGAAATAAATTTATTACAATATAATGAATCTAAATAAAATATTAAAATCAAATCCGAAATATTTTATCAATCGCTATACATAGAATTCGACTAGAAAAGGCATTTTCAGATTCTGAAACGTTATTATTCAGATCAATTTGAGCATCAATTCAACTGCTGAATCTACGTACTAATTGCGAATAATCTATGATTTGCTTCCAGCAATTATAAAGCATAAATTGCTTAAATTTTTCTGAACTACAGTTAACCACGATATAACGAGGCACACCAACTAACCCTCTGTGTTCGTTATGTCAAGGTTTTCGTTAAATCGAGTTGGAATATGTAGAACACAACATGAGCTGAAAAAGTTCATTATATTAAGGCTTTCGTTAAGTTAAATCAAACGTCGTTCTATCGATGCTTAGCTGTAAATGGGATAGATCGGGTGCAGTTTGGAGCTGAATTTGTTTTGAATAATAACTTTTTGACTAGGCGAATCTTGTTTATTGTAATGCCTAAAAATATATGAAACTCATATACACAGACAGTGACTTTCTTTATAGTGTACCCCCGCTATAATGGAGACTAATTAAATTCACGTTATAGTGGATAATATTCAAAACTGCCTCTAATAAGATCCACTCGATATAGTAGATTTGCTAATAAATTTTCGATATAATGGAGAATTTTTTTGTTAAAACATGTAGCTTTTTGTGATACACTCGAGAAAACAAAAAAATCTGTTAAAAATATAACGACAGTCACACCCATTTATATCTCTCTATGGTCGCCATTTAAGCCATAAACAAATACTTATTTATAGTTACTTGATAACAGTCAGTTAATGGCTTAAAAGAGATATAATCATAAATGGTACTATCTGGGAGAGAAAGAGACAGATTTATTAGCAAGATACAATGCTTGATTTGAAATTCTATAAAGCATACGGTTAAAAAAGCGCATTATTATACTAATCCGAGATAAACATCACTTATAGATAGAAAATAAATCAATATCCGTATCATGTTTTCCATCAATAAACTAACATCAGTCGATAATGACAAATATTAATAAATAAATAAGGAAATATTTTTATACCGAATAATTCCAGTTTTCATTTACTGTAAAAAGAACGCCAATTACGTAATTAAAAGAATCTCAGCCCTAAAAAGAAATCAAGGGTTTCCTTTTTTTATCGAAGATCGTCGCTAACGTTAATGGAAGCCCAAATATGGAAAATAAATTAATTGTCATTGTACAATAACGATAGTTGATTCTCCGACAGACCGTAGATTGATATTGATAATTTTTTAAGAGTTGAAATAGTTTTTTGTTCCCTACCTCGATCTCGAATTTTTTTCATAAAAATTTGTAAAAATATGGAATGACTTTTATTTTTTGTTGTGTTGTTGTGCTATGACTTTTATTGAATGAATGAGGTATCACAAACTTTATGAGAATATTTCAAACTTGTTATAGAAAACACAACGCATATAGTTTGCATCTTGATTTCATAATTTACCACACAATACGTACGTAAAATAAAATGTACATGAATTTAAAGATTCGTAATCTACCACATAATAAAATAAAATGTACATGAATTCAAAGATTAAAAATTTTCATTATGAATGAAGGTACATTATTGGTTTGAATGAATTTGCACGTTCCATCATTTTTCGATATTCAAATTCCATTCGATTACGCCACCTTGCCCAATCCTTATCCGTAAAGACAAAAAATTGTAATGGCTGTTCACGAGCCGTGCAATAATCGAACATTGGCGTATGAAATCTGGGAGTTCCATCAAAATTTAATTCATTTTTTAAAGACTCGAGGGCACGTGCAAGTCGATTTTGTCGTGTTTCTTCAGCTTTTCTTAGAATTTCTTGAGAATATGCAGTTCTTCGTCGTTGAAAATCTTGCATTTTAGAAGTCATTTCGGTAGATTGTTGTTGCAACCATGCCTGTCGGTCTTTTGGTTTCATTGCTTGGCATTTTTTCACTAATTTTATTATATCTGGACGCCAGTAAACGTGCAATCGATTCAGCACATGGATCTTTGTGTTGATCGTGCTTACATAGGTTTTGCTGCAACGAGTATCTTCCACTCTTAGCATGTATGAAGTGGATGGCATGTGTGGAGAGGCTGTCATGTGTGGAACGGCTGCTAAAATTTGGCGAGGCATCTTTTCTTTCGCTAAATCCAGTTGACTTTTTGTAGTAAGATAAAATGAATGATTAGTCAACAAGTTTTTTCTTGCATAACGTCAAACAAGAAAAATAAAAAAAAAATAAAAAGCATAAAAACCTTGCAGTATTCTTACTAAAACAGGAATTACAACATCTGATACGAAACTCCCAATACAAAGGAACCGGTTTTTCATATTGAGTCTTACCACAAATCTGACAAGTACGTTGCAAAATTAAGAGTGCTGTATATCGTCTTTGATCCATTCCTTCCAACGGGGGTTCCGTCAACAGTGGCAAAAACATGATCCGAGAATTTTTCCATATTTGTTGTGTGACACCTGATTCTTCTGAACATAAATAGTCATGATACTTTCTGCATGTCGAAGAAAGCGCAAAGAGTTCTGGTGGTTCGAGATATTCGCATATATTAGCAAATATCTCGGGTGGAACTTGTGTGGCAAGACATTTATTATTAATGTTATATAAGTAATCATAATTGTAATAAGGTAACTTGGGGATCTCTTTGAGATTTTGTGATTTGTAATTTATTATATTTTTATTGTTTGTAAAGATGTTTGAATAAAGAATGAAATCTTTATTGGGTTGCATTTTCGATTTTTTTTTTCGATTTTTTTTCCGCGTATCGATCCTATTTATTAGAGTTTTTGTGTTACTATCGGTTTTATGTGACAAATATAAACAAAAGCATTTTAAAACACAATAAAATTACGTAGTGTAGTATTCCATTTAAATAACCTACTTTGGAAACTGAATAAACTTGAAAGAATTGTTTTATCAGCATCAAAAAAAAAATATCGAGTTTGTTTTTTATTATAATAAGATGATTTTTTAGTATTATCATTATTCACTGTCGTTATCGTAATTATTCTCGTCGTTGTTATTATATAATAACGAATAACATAAGATTCTATTGAGAGTCTATGTTTTTGCAACGGGATCAATCTCCTTTCTAAAAAGGGAAATTTTTTTAAGGGGGTGCATATTTAACAACGACTATTTTTTTTTTATTGGTCTGTATTAAACGCTTTTGTTCTTATCGTCTTTTTTGCTTATCGTTATTATCTAATACCTGTTGCATTATATCATTATATACATGTAATACCTTTTTGAAACGATTATAGTTATATTTCCTTAATCTTTAATGCCATTCATCGTATTTAAAATATTTAAAATGAGACTTTTGAGTTTCTTTTTATGGATACTATCCTGGAAAACAATGCAATTTATTAATAAAGACAAAAGTTTAATGATATCAGTGATCACGTGGCTTAACAGTGGAGACCGAATTTTTTTCGACATTAACCAGTTGTCCAAATTAAGTACGTATTTAAAACTTTAAAACCCAATCCAATAATCCGCATGGACAATACGTATCGTATTGTCTTGGATTTTGTCATGATCTCGACTCGGTGCATCGCGGGACTAGGAAAAGGCGTTGGAATTCGATACGCTTAAAGTTACTATATATATACAGATTGCGTGACGAGACACGCATCTATACCAAACATTTCAGTAGAAAGGTAATAAATATGATTGTTTAGAGAAGCTTAATGCATAGGATATTTATTCACGAAAATTCACAATATTATTTGACAAATTTCATATATATATATACACACACTTAAAGCTCTATAACGGACGCTCGTTCGATATAACGGATTGAGGTTCAGAAGGGATTAAGGTTTAGAACGGATTTCTTAATTATAACGATAACGAATTTTTTGATGAGTCCGTTATACCGAGTTTTACGCGCGTATACGAATTATTAATAAAATAAGTCTCCACAATTTCATCGAATATCAAGGCAAACTAATGAAACACAAAATTCAAAACATTACCACAGATAACACTGCTTATATGACAATAATACGAATACCGTACTCAAAGAAATCCAATACTGGTATCTTCCGCTGAAATTCTGCGCAGTATATTAAGATTTACACAGAACGTCACCAACATGAGCAAATTTTTCGGCATACTGCGGGGAAACATTAATATCAGGATTTTTTGCTTAGTCTTCGGCACTTGTCTTTTTCAGCCTCGTGAAGGGTACCGACCATTCATTAGTGTCGGGTGTGTGAGGAAAGTAGCGGGAAGTGGTACCGAGCCATGTATGGTCGCTTTTACTAGAGATTTTCGCGCATCGTCAGAATCTAAAAGATTTCCGAAAAGCGCGGCTCTAATTAATCAAGGACTAAGTGTTCGGGGGTTTCCATCACGAAAACAAATCTAGCATAGTGTAGTAAATATCAGATGAATTTCTGGACTTAATCGATAAATATAAAGCTGGAAAATAAGTCACAGATTTCGGTTAGACCGTTATTAACAGCATAATTTATGTCATCCTGAATTTCAGTGTCAACTTGCTCACCAATGATTATTTTTGAAACTTCGGCTTAAATATATCAGTCGTCTCCCTTCATCCTCAAGATCTTTTTGGCAAGATATTCTTATGGAATTACTGTTTCATTTGTTACGCTGAAGTTGCAACAGTCAAAGCTGAGGATATACATTGGGGCGGTTGTCAGATTAAAAAGTCAGCTGATAACTAATCAATTTCATTGGTGAGGTATAGATACATATAGCACTGCCACTGCCTTTAGTTTTTTGTTTACATAAAGCGATACGCGCGTTATTTTGTTTGTTTACGTGATTCCAAATATAAAAACGAAATATATACACGCTTTTTTTTGCAAAGAACAAAGAAAAAAGTTACCAAAATGTATACCCATAATCAACAAAAATTACAATTGCTTTGCCTTCTAGAAGCGAAAGCTCTAAGCCAGAACAACAACAGCAACATTCAGAAGGCAATACCTCAATCCCACCGCTTCAAATTACACCGATGAGAAGTAATATTGAGCCTATTAGAATGACGCGCAAGCGTCCACGCCTTAATCCTTGTAACAGAATTGGCGGATTCATTATCCAAAAATTAACCAAATAATTTTTCGAGATCTGCGACACAAACCGATTCATCCTATTTAATTGATCAATGGAGGGACAAAGAAGGGAACCATAAGGAAGATAAAAGAAGATGGAAATTCTAAAAATAACATAATAACTTGCTATAGACGAGTTTTATACAATAATATAACGACATTTTTTTTAGTGTCCCAGCATGTCGTTATGTCGAGAGGTATGTGTATACAGAGTACTTTGAAGTAATTGTTAATGAAGCATCTAGAAAAATATCAAGTCATTCTTCTTATCGTTACACATTTCGATGTGAATGAAGAAAGAAAATATGCATAGATTCTCTCAAAGGATCCAGATCAAAGAAATATACACCCTAAATCTTCAGCTAATGAAGACGCAACAAAATAGTTTGCGCTATTCGAACAATCAAAAAGCATGCACAAAAATGTGAGGCCTGGTTATTAGTCGGCGATTTTTTCGATGAAGATGTTGTCCCTGAGGAAGGAATAACTTAATGTTACCGATTCGGAAGCTGAAATAACGGGATTTGCGATGATGATGACAGTATAACTACAATTTCAGAAGTAGATTACATGTACATCTCAAACCAAAAACTGAGATTCCTTCAAAGGCTCAATCATTAATATCAATTCACCTACAAACTCATTGTACAGCAGGTTACAACATTGACTATTCCAGCAGCTATTGGTACAATCTCAACAGATACTGTCATCATCATCACAAATCCCCCGTTATTACAGCCTCCGAATCAGCACCATTAGCAGTTATTCCTCCCTCAGGAACAATATCATCAATCTCAACAGACACTGTCATCATTACAAACCGTTTAATTCTCGAGAGTTAAATATTCGAAATCTTAACGGGAGAAAAATAGCCCTTGTAGTAGGAAGTGATCGAAAATCAACTTTAATTAATATAACGATAATCTTGTTATTTATTGTTATGACAAGAGTTTCTATACGCAAAAGAAAAACAATTTTTCGAGTCAAATTTTTCAAAGTACTGACCGCGTATTATAGCTCCGAAAGATGTCGAAATGAATAGAAAACTTGTTAGTATATTTCATGATAGACAACGAGGTTAACTTGATTTGTAAGCTTCTCTTCATTGTTTATAATAATGCTAGAATTAGTGTCAAAGCCAGAGTTTGATTAAATAGAATTTCAAGTCAATTAATTAAATACATCTGATTACCGTACGTATTTCGCAGTGTGAAATACCCCGGTATATATGTTGTGCCTCAGATGTCGATTTGCGTCAGATATCGCTTCATGCGATTTTATTCGGCCAACATTAACCTATTCACCAGCACTAACCGTAATCCTAACCCTA